GAAATGTAGTTGGCAAGTCTTACTGATATTAATATGAGCCACATGATCATAAAAGAAAATACATATCCTTCATTATTTTAGTCATTTCTGGAGGCTTTTTTCTTTTCTTTTCACTTTTTTTTTTAAACTGGGCTAATTTTGACTTGTTTTCTGAGTCAGATACAGGAGTATAACATAACTAACCCAAACTCTTCGGTGTTAAATTTCTTATAGGTTAGAAAACTATGAACCAAGATAAATTAAGAAGAATTCAAAATACGTTAGCACAAATGGACATTTTATTAAAGCTGAGAGACATCATATTGAATATGGTCTCTCAAGATGATATTTAATAAAAACTTTTTAAAAAGCCAAACACATTTTTATAATTAAGGTTTTTCAGCATATTATAGTTTAAGTAGATATTATGTGCTCCTTTTAAGAGTTTCTATTAAAAACAAAGAAGAGATATAATACCATAGAGCTCATCTTTATTTCACAATAATTAGGCAACAACCCACTTCATATCTCAAAGACCCAAGAAAGGTACTTGAGATCTTATAAGTAAAGTGTCATTTTTTCCCCTTACCCATGCCTGAAACAGTTTTTTTCTCATACTCATTATGTGATGAGGTGATCACATTCTTAGCTGTAATCAGATCTGTCAAAACATTAAATAAGACAGCAGAAGACTCTAGGCTTACATGTTTAGGTTGGAAAATGTATCAGTGTTATGGTATAGCCAAAGTGCCATTTGTTAGGATGCCTACAAAGTAGTTTGGCTAAGAGTTTGGAAAATCATGAGTCATTTGCTGTCCCAGTTTTTTTCCCTTGAGTATTATCAAGTGATAGTAATATATATGCATGTTACAATCTGATGAAAATAAATAAAATAGTGAAGGGAGGTGGGGTGGGGCAGGGAGACAAGGAATAGACTGTTTGAAGGCCAAAATATTAGGTTACTTACTTACATTGTAGAAGTAAAACAAGGAGAATATGATGGTAGATGTAACTACAGCAACCATCCCTGAAGACTGGAGAAACTTGTCAGGTCAAAGTCAAGAAATTCCAAGTGGTTGTACAGGTCTTATTCCTAAGGGTAGACAACATGAGGTTGGATTTTATTCTAAATTTATCACTCACTTCACAACGCATAGAGTTGAGACTGGGACGAAATCTCTTTACTACAGAATTAACAGTAAAGAGGTGAGTTTGTAGATAGGTTTTAGCACCTAAGCAGAAGAAGTATAATGTCCAGGCAGCTCACTGAGTTTGGAAGATATAATAAAATGATAACTCATCATTGCAAACACTCGGATAACTTCCAAGTTGATAACTTCATATTGTTCATGATGACGTACTCACGGTTTTTACATAGGAAGACATCAGAAAACAAAGTGTAAGTACTGGAAATTACATTCTGCACTAAGCAAAGAAAATGAATATAGGGATATAGACAATGTTTTAGAAATGCGCTAAGAATTCCATCAATTATGAAGGAAATTTGCTAAATAATCACAAGCCCACACTTACATATAAAAGTAGTCTCTAGGGGCAGCCCGGGTGGCTTGGCAGTTACTGCCACCTTCAGCCCAGGGTGTGATCCTGGAGACCGGTATCGAGTCCCACGTCAGGCTCCCTGCTTCTCCCTCTGCTGTGTCTCTGCCTCTGTCTCTGTGTCTCTCATGAATAAATAAATAAGATTTTTTTAAAAAAGCAAAATATTTTAAAGAAAGTAGTCTTTAGGAGACCAAGTTAGGGATAATTTATCCATTTTTGAAATTTCTGCAGAAAAATTTTAATTCCAAGTTGTTATTGCCTGTCTACTTAATGCTGCATTTCTCAGCCTTTCTGACTCTCTGTTCATTTGGGATGATTCTGTTTAAAAATTAGAATAAACAAAACATTACTTGTAAGGTATGTCTGCTGAAACAATGTTTTTTTTATGCACTACTTTGCAGTATTTGCTGTCTTAGCCCAATTAGACTGTTCTAACAAAATGCCACAAAGGGGGTAGCTTAAAAATAAGAAGTTTATTTCTCACAGTTCTGGACTCTGGAACTCCAAGGTCAGAGTGCCAGCATGGACACATTCTGCTGAAGACCCTCTTCCTGGTTCACAGCTGGTGACTTCTCACTCATCGCCACATGGCTTCTAGGAACTAGAAGCCCTATGGAGTCTCTTTTAGAAGAGCGTTAGTTCTACTCATGGAGTCTCCGCCCTCATAACCTGATCACCTACCAAAGGCCCTACTTCCTTTTACCATCAAATTGGCATTAAGATTTCAACATAAATATTTTGAGAGGGACACAAACATTCACTATAGACTTGCTGTTCCCCTTTGTTAATGGGACTTACCAATCAAAGGCCAAATAAGCTTATTTAGGAAGTACAATACTGGGCTAAGTGTATCTGGAATTAGAGTCTAGTTTTAGCTTTTTCACTTGCTTGGGGTTTTTTATGAACAAAATCACAACCAACCTGAACTTGTTTCCTATCAATAACATGAAGAAGTATCAGATACCCTACACTTTCCATGAGAATTTTGAGAGTGAATTAGATAAAGTCAGTAACAGTTGTGTGAATTTGCAAAGTATTTGTGGAGAAGGACATAGTTTAAACTCCTATATATTCTGGTTGCATTAAATTACATGTACTGAAAGAGACTGTATTCCAGATTAACCAGGGTTGTGACAGGATGAACAGATAGCAAATGGTACCACAGGTTATGCAGAGAAGAGGGAAATGACAGAAAAGAGTGAGGTGGACACAGATGAGTGTGAGAGAGGAGCTAGAAAAAAATGTAGATGAATTACGTGGGAAAAAAAAAACCCAGGAAAATAAATGGAAAAAAATATGGAAGAAAGGGACACTCACACTGTAACCTCAGATAATCTATTTCCAAGATGTACATCCAGTTTCACTGCTCTAAAAACCAAACGTCCTAGGTTCCCTATCCTTATTTTGAATGGGGGATGTTAGAGTTGAAAACTCCGTCATTTTTAAAAGTTGTGTTGGCCAAAGTCTTTTAAGGTTTTATACCCACTAAACTTGAAGCAATATGCAGTGGGCCCAGGGCATGAATGTAATATGGACCCTGTTCCCTTCCCTCTTCGTTACATTCTCCTACTTCCTCATCAATGGATTTCATGAAGTGCTCCCAACGGAGACAGCTAACTGACCCCTCTCCATCAGTGGAGGTAAAATGACAAGTGATTCCTGCCTGTTCAGTTAGAGGTTTACCTAAGGTCCAGTACCCTTATGGTACTTCCTTTATACCCTTGGTTCTTCCTGAAGCACTCAAAAATCTTGCTTCTTTGCATATGTTTCAATCAGTCAGGTGATCAGATTCTTACAGCTCTTTTAAGGGTTAGAACAAATAACAGCAATAAGGGCAGTGTCTGCTTTTACTGTTTTGAGGGACTTCTGTGCCTGAAAAAATTTCAAGTTAGCAGCAGTTGGTCTGATCTATGACTTTCTAGGAATATAGAGCAGCAGTAGGGGCAAGAAAACATTAACCTTTCTTTTTCTCACATGAGTATGTTTTTATTTTCCAGGATCTGCCCCTACTGTACTTTTGCCCATTTTTCTATGGGGTTATGGATACTTCATCATCTTTGTCAATTTCTCCCATCTGCCTATTAGGTTAGTTTTGGGAAGCACTTCCCTCAAGTTTTGTGCCAAATGGAAGAAAAGCAGCAAAATTCAATTTCACCAGTTATTATCCTCATTGGTACCTTTAGTGAGAAGTTAAAATCATAATGGGAACTTTTAGTTGGGTTATTAAAACATGAGGTGTTGCTGGAAGTATAATGGGTGCATCTTAGAGCCCCTAACAGCAAGATGTAGAGTTGCCAAAATGCTAAACAAACTTCCTTTACCAGGTGGCTCACACCCTAAAGAGCCCTTTGTCTTGAGCATATTGATCAAATCTTAAAATCATATCATCATATCAAGGTTTCAAATATTTATCATTTCTCTGATCCTACTAGAATAGAAAAATCAAAAACATATGGCATCTTTGTAAAAAGTATTTTTCATTTTGCACTTGTCAACATTATAAATAGATGAATTTGATACATATTTGTCGATCTTCAAGGAATTCATAAATGTAATACTAGGAAGTATTTGTTAAGCTCATTTTTTTTTTGGCCTTGCTACTTTTTTTTGCCTTTTCCCCTATAAGTTATATTTTGAATTAAAAGGTACACTCAAGGAAGAAAAATTTCATTTGATAGTACTTTTAAAATGTGATAAGTATCCATGAAAATCTACAAACACATATTGATGAAGAAAAATTTAATAACTATCTCAGATGTGATGGTGGGCTTGAACTGACATGGGGATGAGAAAATGGCTAAAGGTAAATGAGTTTGCAGTCATATGTGCCCTTTTACATTTCTGGTTATGAAGACATTGGTAACAGAACAAACTTATGGGAAAGCATAAGTTGCATTTGTTAAAATGTAGGCAATTCATGATTCATATAGTGATAATGTAACATAAAGCAGAACAGACATCTCCGTTTTTGCCAATGTGATTGAGCAATGTCTAGGATTTAACCCTTATTTGATCCTGGTCTGACTCCTAAGAAATGGTGGTTTCCAATACGGTTATTGAACCATTTGTTGAACTGCTTGCAAAATTTACTGTGTGCTTTGGAGCAACAACTTTCTGCCCGTAGCTGTCTCTATAAATAGAGGATAGGCTCCGACATACATACCTCTTAGATTTAAGACCTATATGAAAACTGTCTGAAGAGTAAAGAGATGCCATCCTTAATTAACAACTTGGAATACTTTGTCCTCTGCCCTGGGGCAGGGGGCCTACATGGTAAAGATGGAGATTCCTGATCTCAAATGTATCCCCATCTCTCTCTGGGTCAGGCAGTGTGACATGTGTACACAACGGCAATAACTTAAGCCTGATGTTATTCAATAATTTAATCTTCGTATTTGGAAGATGTGTTTGGGTACAGAATTTTCACCAGAAAGTTTTTATAGCAAACTTTTTATGTCAGAAGTTTATTTTATTGGTAAAATATTAAATAATATACAGAATTAAAAACTGCACTTACACTTCTGAGAAGAAATAAATCTTGGACAAATTATATGCTTGTTCCTGAGATTCCCTAAATTTATTCCAGTAGCTGTGCACTCAGACAGTACAAACCTTTATAATATAATCCTTTTCACAAAGTATTACAAAGTTTCTGCAGCTTCTTTAGTTGTACACACATACAGACACACACTCACACATGCATATACAACACTCATACACGTATACACAGTAGCCACATACATGCACAGAACATGTATGTGTGTGCATTAAAAACAAAGAAAATACAAGTCCCACGTTTTAGTCTGCAGTGATAAAACTGTTTAGCAGAGGTCTCCAAATTGGTAATATAGCAGAGTGACTTGTCACACAGCTGCAAAGACTGTTTCAGTATTTCCATAGTAAACCTCATTTTCTGAGGTATTGTATTTGAGCCTTAAAAAAACATTACACTGAGCAAACCTGACATACAAGTTCTGGAATTTTAATTTTACATAGATATATATATTTCTTTTTAAAACAATTTTTATTTTCCCAAATTATTAGTTTGAAAAAAAATGAGGTTTACTGGTTTGACCTATCTTATTTTTCTTTTGCTTCTAAAACTCAAAATATCCTAGAAACTGTCAAGCAATTAGTTTTTAAAGTAGTCTAATTACCTTTGGTATTGTTAAAGAAAAAAATCTAAAATGGCCAAGACACATACTATACAAATGCAGTAACTGCCTTTAAAAGAAATGCCAAAGAAATGTTATCTTTTAACAAAACATGTATTTACATTACAGCAGTTTTACTACAGGGACACAGGTATAAAAAAGAAAACCAGCATTCTACATATAAATATGTATGATACGAAAAATACTTCTTACTTAAATCTGTATGAAAACAGTGCTCCAAATATTTCTTAAAAATTGTCTTCAGTAGGTGATAGGTGTTTAAAATTGAGCTAAGTGCTTTGCTTTTTTTTTTTAAGTTCATTTCCAAAAGAACGAAAATGAAATAAAAAAATATTAGGTTCTTAATTTAAAACATTGGACAAGGGTAAGAAGAAAATTCAGTCTAAGAATTGCAACTTTTTCAACTTTAGGACACATTTCTCAGACAAAAGATTACCATTTTCAATTAAAATTTAGCCCAAATAAAGAATACCCTAAGATTAGACTAGTGGTTTTGACGTTTTCTAATCTTTTGATTATGGAGTGCCTTTTTCCTTTGCTTGTTGTGTCCTTTAACTAACATACCATGATTTTCAAGGGTTTCTTTTTGACATTAAAGAATACGTCAGTTAAAAAAAAATAACCATAGTTTTTAAGACTTCAAGGAAAGTATTGCACTTGTACAGAAAGAAAAGAAAAATATCCTTTAAATAGCAGAAGGAATCATTCTGAGATTGCAAATAACACATGGTCTAAAAGGTCCAACTATTAAGAGCAGATATGAAGCCTGGAGAACCCCCTCCAAACCTGGAATATTATTATAGTAATGTTAAAGCATGTTCTCCCAACTGGGAGACAGTTAAGACTTTTTGCTTTAGATTTTTAACATCTTCCTAAATTTTTGCAAAAAACTGTTTAATCTCTCATACATTTTAGAAGGAAAACCAAATCAGAACACAAAACTCAACAAAAAAAGGAAGGCAAACATACCATATTACGATGACATAATCTCTGAAGTCCTATTTTAGGTACCCAATATTTGAAAGTAGCACAAGGGTTATATACTTTACTATTTTTAATCCAACTACTTCTCTTTTTTAATATAAAACTACACTTGAGTATAAAAATATGTCAGCAAATTATACAGCTAACAAAAATCACACAAAAAAATGTTAAGACTGAAGAGACTGATGAGTTGGAAGTTAAGAGCCGACCTAATCTTCAAACTAGTGGGGGGAAGAGAGGCAGAAATGTCCAGAGGCAGTGCTGGAAGGGACATTGACAGGGAGCAAAGGAGGTTAGGAGGAGGAGACAAAACTTAAGAGCTAATAAAGACCTTCGTTACTCAGAAGGGGAAGTGATTTGTGTTCAAAATCTGAGAGTGCTTGACAGTCAAAATGTTTTATCACAGTTTCAGAAATTGAACTACTTAAAAAAACACACACAAATTAATAAAACAACAAAAAACAAAACCCAGAGTCCTTCCCTTGTTACAGTGTATTCATTTTCTAAAAATCCATTTCCAGTAAATTAAATAGAATCCTGATAAGTGCATAGTAGGGGATTCAGTGACCTCCACCCGTTTGAGAAACTTTTCTTACTGTGTGTCACTTGAGGTAATTTGAAGGGCCCAATTAACTGCAAACTGGCTTATCTGTACTTTTCTGAAGTTATATGTTGTATTTTATGTGGCTTAGCAGAGGGCCTCTAAATTTTATATTTTATTCACAATAAAAAGGACATCTTAGAAAACTAGTCATTCACGTACCACTCTCTGTATGGGGGTAAAGGTTAATTCACAACAAATTTATACAGAAAATATACAAATGCAGTGTTATGGGAGGAAAAACCCCATAAACAGAATTAGGAACTTATTTCTAACTGTGCATGTGAAAAATATCCACAAACTTACAGTACAGCAAGAGAAAACTAAAAAGCTAGAAATATAATGTTACATAAAAACCTTATGGAAATCCCAAAATTTTAGGTTTCTGCAATAAATGTAAAAATATTCAAGGTGTCATTATTTGGCCTAGCAACACACTATGATAAAAAGAAACACTAGCATATCACAGCTTCTTGGTCATATGACATTTGCTTTGTATAACAAGCAGCTCATTTTTTTTTTTTTAAAAGCTGTCATATCCTAACACATCCATTGCAAGTAATACACAATCATGGTAGGAAACCATTTGAGATTATGCTTTGGAGAACAGCAATGTGATATGACTGTTCAGTTTTGTTTTGTTCAAGGAGAATTAATTACCTGCTTCTTTACATTATTCCATAAAACATTAACAGATTAGGAGACAGGTTCTCAGACTAGTACAACACTAGTCTGTAAATGGAATTCCAAAACAATACTGTATTTTATTGACCAAAAATTCCACTAATAAAGCCTTGTGTGATACTAGAACTTATTCTTCCTTTTAAACAAAACAAAAACACATACCATAATGCAATTCACAAATGAAATTTCCCTCTATGCCATATTTTACCTATGTGATCTTGTAATGATATTCAGAAATACTATCAAACTAATGAGATTAAAATCTTGTCTCAAAGTTTCCTTTACTTTAAACAGATGAGCTGAAATCCTCTGTACTGGAAATTCCTCTGATGGTTTTGCCCTAGAACACGAAGATGTATTATATAGTACTCAAATTTAAGTGGTTTTTAAAAATACATAATAAAAGTGTTTGTAGAGCTACAACAGCTAACCAACACTCTCTCAATGCATTTTAAAAAGGCACCAATATAAAGAAATCTTACAAGTATTTAATACATTAAATTCAGGATCTTAAGATACCAGTTACTGTATATTTTAATTATTTTGCAGAAACTGGAGGTTTAAAAACATTTCTAAGATAACTCTCATATATACAAACTTCAATTTTACCTCTATTCTTTTTTTCTTTTGCATTTGGGGAATTTTTTTTTTTTTTTGGATAATCGTATACAGATAGTACTTACTAAATAATATATAAAATATAACTAAAGATGACCATATATGTAACATATCTCTTTTGGTAAAATGAGTATTTCAAAGTAAAAAAAAAATTGTAACCAGTACCTTTTTTACTGTAAGTTCTGTCTTAAAACTAGGGACATGCAGTTTTTTGTTTGATATTTGCAGCCTTTTCTGTTCTTTTTCTACTTTACGGAATCATTTTGGAGACAGGATGAAATAACATTTGGAGAGTAAGTAAAACATAATTTTCATCTAAATGCCTTCACTAATGTATGTTTTGTCAAACCTTTATAACATATATAAAGACTTCATAGTTTTGTGAGGTGTAGAACTGAGACAAAGTAACTATAAAAATAACATCAAGCTCACTAAAATATTCTGGTCTTTCTCCATTTGCCAACAAGTAAAAGTTAATCATTTTTCTTTTCTGTATCTTCCTATTCAAAAGTTATTTGTGTTTCTTTCACTTTGGAAGTTATACAGAATCAGCTTGAAAACCTTTTTGTTTGTTTTGATTTCTTCTGGAAGTAGATGGTAAAGACCCAAGGTTTAAGTTTAATAGTTGAACTAGTTCTAAAGACACGCCAATAACTTCTTTAATATTTCTTAATACAATCTGGTAAATGTCCTAAATTGCTCGGGTATTAACTATAATTTTAACTCTTTATGTGCTCTTGCAAAACATGAGGTCACTCTATTGCTTCTTTTCATGACTTTTCCTTAAAAGAGTGTGTACGTGTATACAAACATACACACACTGTTGCACACATAGAGTTGCTTGTATGTATGCAGAAAAGGCATTCCCTACTCCGTAGCCAAATCTAAATCCTGGTCTCTCATTCTCCAATTTTGTCCCTCCAGAAAATTCTCAACGGAATGTTTTAATGACTTGAAATCTCTTCCAATCTGCTTAATGGTTATTTTCACTGTTCTAAAAAGCCAGATTAGAATGGCTTTTTAAAAGTGATTGACCACTATTAGAGAGAGGCAGCACATATCTCCAACAGGAGCTGTAGATCATTTTCTCGGCAAAATTAGGGCAAAGCAATGTGATGAATTTCTGAATTTTTGCCAGACTAGAAAAGAGAGGCTAACCCATTTTCATGCCCCCCTCAAGTACTCTGTAATGTGAAATCTCACCTAAATAAACCGGGCATATAACTGTTATGTAAAACTTGATTTATTTGGTGTCTGACTCTCATATTTATTTTTAGGCCCTAACAACTTGCCTATTTCCTTTCTTGAAGAAGGAGGCATGCAAATATAGCCATTCAGAATTTCCCAGAAAGCACTGTGCCCACAAGAATTCATTCTAACCTGCACATTTGAATTGACCTAGTCCTCATTTGTCCCTGCCACACCCTGAGCCATCTTTACCTCTTTCTGTTCCTTATATCACGAAGCTAAGAAAGTACAAGCATACACTTGTAGCAAATACACTCTCACAAATATTAAGTCCCTTCAATACAATAAATTTCCAAAGAGATGAAATGAAAAGAGGAGGGTATATTAGTACTGTCTTCGTGGGGGTACTACACAACTCTTTAGGTCCACCTAAAATTCAGCTTCATCCCAGGACAGTTGGGTACATGATTGTTCATACACTGGAAAAAACAAACAGTGAACAGGAAGAAAATTCATCGGTGATGCCAGCAGAAATCCACACACAGCCAAAGTTATGAACACATTATCTGCCATCCAAATGTTTCCTTAAATTGCAGTAAAACACAAAATCAGTAACCTTAAATTATTACCTTCCTCCAAAAAGGAAAAAAATATATAAAATTCCAATTTTCTTCTTGAGTGGTTAGGGTAGGGGCAGTTAAGGGAGTCTCAAAACATGCTTTAGATAAATTGTATGTTCACGATGTACCAAAGCATGCAGGGGGGGAAAAAAAACAGTTGATATTCTATTTAAAATATTTCACATCTCTGTTTTGGTGCATTCTCTTAGATTTAAAGGAACAGTTTGGACATTTCTCCAAAAATAATTACAAGAGGGGCCAGTAAAGGACAGTTGAGTTATAATCATTGTTGCCTCACTCTAGCTGTGTTAGTGCTTGGAAGTTGCTTAAATCAGCAGATGATAAATGAGAAAATAAGTGAAGGGCAGTATTGGGGCCATGTGTACTTCTCTGTCCATAGGTCTCTCATCTTGCTAGTTCTCACATCATCTGGATTAAGAAACATAGTTGTACCATCCTATTGAATGATTCTTTTTTAGAGCAGTTATCAGTTACTGCTTAACAGAATCAGTAATCCTAAATGGCTACCAGATAATCCAGTCATGGGCAGGCCTGTCCTCCCTCAACACAAGCAGCAAGTTCTGCACCCAAGTATATCTCCCCAAAATGACAGATCTCATTTGGTTCCTTCCCTCTAATGCTGCTGGACTGCAGAGAAAAAACAGCACCCTTATAAATGAAATAAAAAATTTGCACATGAAAAATGGTGACATATGTACAGATAAAGAAGAGAAAGTTTTTACTAAGGGATTGAGATTCATTTCTGACAGGGATTTATAAATAGTTGAATGTTTTCAAGATAGAGAAAAATGTGCAGGACATGGTGACTTTCACTTGGAGGTTAGGTTACTAGACTCCAAGAAGGGTAAAAATAAGCTTTGTTTTTTGTTTATCTGTAGTCTAATGTACAGGTTACAAAGAAGTTCCCTTTTCCTTGCACCAAAAGTGGTAAATATTATTATTGAAGAAATACTAGAATAAATAGCCCTAATTCCACAACTTATGGGGTTCAAGTTACCCATTCAAGTTGAATTAGTAATTGCTCCAAGATTTGGAAAGCAAAAACCTCAAACAAGATTTTTATGATCTTCCACTTAAATAGTAAAAGATGATGGACTATGGATAGAACACTGGGTGGTCACAGCTTGAAAAAAAAAAAAAAACAGTGAAAAGAGACATACCAGAAAAGAGATTTCTGAGTGGGTCCCCCCCCCCACTGTTAGCCTAATTATATTTTTCTGCTGACTGGTTAACACTGATTAAATGCTGATAAAGTGACAATCGTAAGCATACTTTTAGAAACAAATACGCAAACTATGCTGCCATCACATTACAACTTTAAAAGAAAACTTCCCAAACAAATTTATGAAAAGTAGAGGTCCTTCCTGGAAACTACTGACTGCCTCTTAGCCACTCTTAGACCATATGTTATTCTTAAGACTAGATAAAAATACTATTCATTAAAGGTGTTAAAAGTAAGGCTGCCAGGGTGTCTATAAAATGCCAGTCATCAAAACTATGGAAAACAGTGCTTAAGTTTAGAAAAATAAGATCATAGGACCTCAGATGTATTGTAGGTGTCCTTAACTACCTGTAGTTTAAAAGTTTTGCTATATGGTACAGTGTACAGCATACCGTATTATAAATTCCACTGGGGAAGTAAACATAGAACCCACAACAACTCATCCAAGGAGTTATCACTGAAAGTAACAATGTTTGTGTTCCATGATCTCTAGAGGGGAAAAAAAAAAAAACAAAACAGTTTACATTTTGAAACAAATTCTTCCTTGAAGGGTAAAATTACTTATGCCACTTTAAACTGTGAAAGTTCTACCCAGAATACTCTAAACTTTCCTACCTTCAACCATAATCCTGAACATCAGTGGCAAATTAGAATCTCTCAGGTGAATCAAGTGATTTTTTTTTTCCAAAGCATGATATACCTTGTATTTATGCATGGCAGAAATGGAACTGCTCTTAAATTCCCACAAAATAAACAAGCCAAGTTTACCAAGAAACAATATCCCCTGTCCCTTCGCTCTTCTGTTTTTTCCTTATTGTAATTAGGCAGAGCAAATGACACTGTGTCCACAAAATAAGAATTAATGACAGTAATAATATTAAACAAAAAAAAAGGTATGTCAACATCTGAGGGAAGGTGGGATTTGTAAGTGCAGTATTTCTTCATGTGCAGTTTGTTACTTCATAGGGGTCCCCTTTGGAATGAAAAGGCCTAGTGGAATGTGTGCTCCCCTCGAACAATGTGTGATGAAAACTCGTAACGGTCCTGGCTTCTGTAGCCACAGATGTTGCATTCCAGTGGGTCCCGGTAGCCATGGCAACCCATGTGAATGGTGTACATGACATGGTCTAGGAAAAGGACTCGGCAGTGCTCACACTTGAAGGCCCTAATCTGTTCTCCTTCTCCATTGAAGACCTTGTAGATGTCCTTCAGAGAGCCCTTAGGAGCCTTGGTGGTATCCAAAGCCTTGACATCCTCCTTCATGTAAGCTGGGCTTTGTTTCCTCTTGGGATTTAAGGCAGGGTTTCCTTGGTAGGACTGGTGGTCATCATGGCTGCTTTCTGAGTCAGTAGAATCCAGGCAGCTATTGCTGGGAGAGGCCTCTCTTTCCTGGGGCCGACTCTTTGGTCTGATGAGAGAGAGAGGACCATCCATGTTGTTTTCATGACTATCGGAGGTTTCCCTGCTAATGGGTCTTTCTATCCTATTTGGATGATAGACCTGAGAATAAGCTGAGCTTATAACTGGGGCCACCTCAGCGATTGTGCTTGGCGGGTGCTGCATCAGTGGGTGAAGGGCCTCAGCTCCAAGGTAGGTGATTGCATTGTTGATGGCTTGGTCCATCATATGAGACTGCATTAGCTCAGCTTCCTTCTCATATGTTAAGTTCATATCAAAGTGAATGTCTGGGTAGCTGAATCGCATGAGCTTTTCCCCTGAAAGGGGGAGGGTGAGAAAAGTAAAAAACAAACAAAATACAACAAAATTAGTGATTGGATTAAAATATAAATGTACAAAGTTAATCGTCTCCATTTTCTATAATATGATAATCTTATTCTTTAGATCAAGCATTTGGGCTCTTTAATTCTGCTGAGACTCACAAATACTCTCAACCTGAAAAGAGGATTAGTAATAAGAATTTCACAAGCCATTTGCACTTGTTTTAATGCCATCATGAAAATGCATCTAGCCTGAAAGGTATGATTGAGTGTGTTATCTTACTTTCATTCTCAATTAAAATTTCCACTTGTCTGGAGCTTAGCGACTATAGGCGAAAGAAGAAATACCAGGTGAAAATAAGTCAGAGACTATACCTATTTTGCTATTTTAGACATCAGTGACCAAGCTACAGAGATCACAAAAGCAAGAGTGATCTGATTATAACATCTGTCACCTTGGTGTTATATAGGGTTAATCTGGATGATTTAAAGGCTATATTAAAAAAAAATATAGAGAGAGCTGGTATATGTCACCGTGGAGAATTCAAAAACATCACCATTAAAATACTGTTAAAAGGGATCCCTGGGTGGCGCGGCGGTTTGGCGCTTGCCTTTGGCCCAGGGCGCGATCCTGGAGACCCGGGATCGATTCCCACATCGGGCTCCCGGTGCATGGAGCCTGCTTCTCCCTCTGCCTATGTTTCTGCCTCTCTCTCTCTCTCTCTCTCTCTCTCTGTGACTATCATAAAATAAATAAATAAATAAAATAAAATAAAATACTGTTAAAAGATGTATTGTTTTGGGGCACCTGGGTGGCTCAGTCAGTTAAGCATCTGACTCTTGATTTTGGCTCAGCTCATGATCTCAGGGTGGTGAGACTGAGCCCCGGGCTGGGCTCTATGCTGGGTGTGGAGCCTGCCTGAGATTCTCTCTCCGCCTCGCCCTCTTGTCTCCCCCTCGCCCTCTTGTCTCCCCTGCCTCCACCACCCACTCGCATGCTCTCTCTCTTCCCCTTTCCCCACCAAAAAAGTTGTATAGTTTGATAAATGGAATGGAATTTAGGACTGTTTAAATATAGGAGTTATTACCAAAGGTAGTTTATTTATAAACTTAGAAGATACTGTTTTGTTGTTTTGCTTCTTGAAATGGAGAATTAATCATTTTTACCTCAGCCCTGCCTTATTCAGTCATATGGGTAGTGGTGCTGGTATGTACACCCATTGTTAATTTCCTATATTTTTTCTTGATTGAAGAATTTTTGTAGTTTTCCCTTTAATATTTACTTCAACAAATTTATATTTTACTCTAAGATAGTATTTAACCATGAAAAAATTCTGTGCATAAAACTGGAGAAGTAACTTTAATTTTCTCTTTTAAATATTGCCAGCTTTAGACAGCATATTTTATCTTTTTAAAATTCTGCCACTAAAAACAATGACGTATCCTACTAATTGCCTGGTTAGTTTGAGAGGTAAATCTCACAGATAAAAACTTCTTAAAATATATGTGAACTTCCTATAAATGTTTAGTATGTTGTTATAGATGGATGCCTAATTTGTAATGTTGATAAAAAATGCTGATCCACAGAACTGCATTCTGGAAAAGCACTTTCAAGTAGCTAGTATTATTTCAGGTTTGAAGAGAGGTCTCCAAAGTGAATCAGGGTAATGATGAGAGTAATGAAAATGTAAGAAAAAAAAGATGAGACCTTACTGCATGGCATCCAATTTAAGATATTACAATGTTAAGAGTTTAAAAGTTGAGCTAGACAAACCTTATCTATATTCTCAAAGAGCTGACACTTTAGCAGGAGTTGTAGCGATTTAGGGATCATTATTAATACAGTGTTATATATGCTATGAGGTCAAATAAAAGGAATACATAATTAGGGGAGTAAAAGACGACTTCTTGAAGAAAGTGGCATCTGAGATAAAAACGTGATGACAAATATTAGCCAAGTAAAGGAATGCAGGGGTGGAGCAGCTGGTAGGAAGGCTTAGAGGCAAGAGGGCATGACTTGTTCAAGGGGTTACTTACATTTCAGTATATAGCTAAGAGTGGAAATAGATGAGAAAGCTGGAGAAGATAATAACAGGGCTCAGTCAACAGCTAAGGAATTTGAATTTTATCCTGAGGGCAATAAGGATTAAAAGGGTTAAACAGGGAAGTGACTTAACTAGATCTTTATTTATCAAGACGGTGTAGGAAGTTATTGATATAAATATCATGGTGGTCTGAATTAGTATAGTGGCAGCAGAAATGGAGAAAATTGGCTGGAATGGAGAGAAATTTAGAAAATATAGTTTGTAGAGTTTGGTGATTATCTAGACCTAGATAAAAAGAAAGAAGAAAGACGTGAGAAAAAGAAAGAAGTTAAATATGGAACTCAAGTTTCTGGCCTGGGAAACTTAGTGGATGGCAATGATAAAAGATGATGAGTTCAGGCTGGGAAAGACGGAATAATAGTTATGGTCCAGGAACTACCAAAATACAGTCTCAAATTTCGGAGAGACTTGGGCTTGAGATATAGATATGTAAGTCACAGTTGATAGAAAGTAACTTTTAAAGCCATGAAAATTGGAGATCTGACCCAAGCATAGGTACAGTGTGAAGAAGAGGAGTAAAAAATAGAAACTGGAAGAACACCAGGATTTTTATGCCTGCCCAGAGACCAAGGCAAGTTGGATTCCTGCATGGGGCCCCATGTTTATAGTCTTTTGCTCCTCATGGAATGAGGACTGTGTCTAGCCAAGGGAGTGTGCCTGTCTGGAGATTACTCCCTAGACCATACCCTGGATACCCAGAACCCCCGAATTCCTTGCCGAAATGACATTGAGCATGCACCAAGGGTTGGCGCAGTCCTCTTCATAGGGCCCATCCTCCTGAGCACCAATTGTGCTCTTGGTACGTACACAGCCCTGAGGAGTGACCAACATACTACTCTTTATGTGCTGTGTGGGGTACAATGTGAAAAGATCTTGGATGTGCAGGCTGAGTGTCTACAGTTGTGTGCATGAGGCCCCTTTTGGTACTAGACAGAACCAGAAGTGGATCTAAGAGAGAGGCTGGGCTGCAGGTCAGGTGGTAGTTCTACTCATGCTGTCAAGGTCTGGTGATTCTGTAATTGAACTCAATTTTCTAAGGAAGATAGAACACCATAGTTTTTCAGCTTGATTTAAAATAAATATTTAGGCACAGGAATGGAGGACTCATTAGCACTTTTGCTCCATTTGCATAACTGTTAACTATTAAGTCTTCAGAATGAAGACTTAGAAGGAGCAGAGAAGCTGGAGGAAATTCAGGAGAGATCAATGTCATGGACACCAAGGAAAGAAGTGTTTCAAAAGGAATGAATTATTCAAGAGTGGCAAATGCTCTTTAGGAGTTGTGTAAGATAGTCTATAAAGGATCCACTTGCACGTGGCACTATGAAAACTAGTGGTGACCTCAATGAGAATAATTTCTGTGGAGCATGGGGAAGAAAGCCAGGTTGCATAGACTAGGGAATGAGTAGGAAGAAAGTATGGAGAGCAAGCATAGAGAACTCTTTCAACAACACCATTTTTGAAGAGCAGGAAAAAGCAGGCAGTAGCTGGAAGGAGACTCGGGTTTGAGGGAAGACGTTTTTGGGGATGAGAACTTATCATATTAAATACAAAAAGGAAAATGTCAAGAGAGGGGAGAGGTTGAAAACATGAGTGAGAAAAAGGAATAATAATGTAAGATATTTGGGAAGCTGAGGTAGAAGAATTCCAGAACACAAAAAAGATGACTTAACCTTAATTAGAAAGAGGGATATTCTTTTATTGAAACAGAGGGGAAAAAAAGTATTCATATAAATCATATAAATGCACATAATCTTTATAAGATTAGTTATATTATATTGAAATCATTTCAACTGATTTTATTCCCTAGAAGCTGAGATATAATACCATCAAGGAGTGATACACTATGTTTGTGGAGAATGAAGAAATGTTGAAATGGCTATAGGGTTGGGTAGGAGAGAGGACTTTCAAGGATGGAGTAAAGGAGGACTGCTACATATATGGATGGAACAACTGATATTTCAGATCACTTATTCATTGATGAATAGTGCCACCAATTTGTAGGGCTGCAAGATTTTCTTCGCAAGTACTAGCAGTCCTGTAGACATGGGAAAGATGCTTCTCTGCTTTCACCAGAGGGTAGAATTTCATCAGAAGGTGATAGAAAGGCAACAAAGTAAAATAATCAATAATGTCAAAAGAGTGTTAAAAGTGATTAACCATGGAATCTAAGCTGGATAAGAAAAAGAGAAGAGGACACAAAAAGATATGTAGAAAGTTCAGGGGTCATTGGTCTGGAAGGCTTGATAAGGTCGAAGAATAGTATTTAACTGAGGAATATGGTAAAAAGGAATTTATAGTAAGTATGGAATGATGAAATTTTCATTTCAAAAACATCAGAGAGATGGTGTGTGTTTTTCACATATTAATAGAAAGGATAATTCAAATAAAAATACCATAAATTCCAAATAAAAATCTAATGTTATTTTATTTTTATTTTTAATTTTTTAAAATCAAAATGTAATTTAAGAAAATCTGTCCCTCTTTACTAAAGAATTGAGACTCGTATCCCCAAGTCATAGGAAAAATAAAAATATTACAAAGAATAGGATTAAATAGATTCAGAAGACATAAAGACATATTTTCCCAACAACACTAGTGTTGGTTTAAAGGACATAAATCATTTAATGGACATCCATCAAAATTGCTCAATTTAAAAAATAGATGAAATGACATTTAAAAATAGTTATTTATAAAAAGGAAGAGAGAAGGACAGAAAGAAAAGTTACTTAGGGACCAAGGCAGGCCTTTGAGTATTCTTTCTGGGGCTTTAAATTGACCTAGGATCAACTGTGATCCCTTAGGGCTATTCTCTGGCCTTTGTTTTCAATGAGCTGTCAATAAATCTCTTCAGCTTATCTTAAAATGATATTTTGGTGATTTGTTAGTTCTTCAATTTTAGATTGGAAGGAAATTTTCTCTAAGTGATTACTGGAGTAAAAGAATTTTATTAGCCTTCCCTCCCTGAAATAACCAGAGAATATTTTCTCCCAGTCACCACTCAACTCAAGAAGGATGTTCCACAATACTCTTTGACACTAGAATGTGAGAATCTATTTGAAAATCTTTCTCTTCTAATTTTTACCCTATATAAAGACTGATATATTACATATATAATTAATGGCAATTCCTTATATAGAGTCACTATTTTTATATATTCTTTAAAAATTGGATGATTTTTGCATCCTCAGAAACACTTGATGACTTACAGTGTACGGAATGATGCCAACTCTGAGTGTATTAAAGAATATTTAAGGGCTTGGAAATGAAAAAGAAAAGTCTAAAAAATAAAAGTTTAAGTACATCATATATAATCTTTTTGTTTCAAAATCATAGGCTGGATGAAAACAAAGATCCAAATCTGAAAGACAGATCCAGGAATGAAAACTCTTTAATGAGGGCTGCTGCATTATTTTGGGGGAAAAGAGTTCTCTTAATTCTAGATCAAATAGCAAAACCATTAATATCACGTAAAGAAAATAGTTTAAAGACTAATGAAAGCTGCAAAACAGATTACAAAGCTGGCTTATAGATGACACCATTTTCCCTAAGTATTTTTATTTTGTAAATAAATTAATATTTTATTTTATATACTGTATATATAATTTCATTTTGAGATAATAACTTCTATCAGTCTTTTATTTCCTAGGCCCACATACCTAAGGGTGTGTGTGTGTGTGTGTGTGTGTGTGTAACTGTGTTACATATGGAACAGCATAAAGTAGAAATGAATAATGGACAAAGAGATGGGTATCTATGTCTTGAACTGAAATATACCATCTATATTTCATGGGAACATACCTCTGCCCATTGAAACCACTTTTTAAGAAGTAAAATCATTTGTAGTGCTTACCCACAAACTTTTGTGGAGTGGAGCTTTTACGTTTTCCCATATTCCCTGTGAGCTTCTCTATGACAGCAGGTCTCTCAAAAGGCACCAGAGAAATATTGTTGTCCATGATAGGCTCTTGTTCCTTACAATCTTCCATAGGAGGTACTATATAAAACCATACAAAAAATGCAATCTGATAATTTCTTCTACATTTTATTAAAAGATACAAAGCTGGATTTGCCATTTCAATATGTATTAAACATAAGCTAGTATGCTTGAATAAAAGTAAAAAGAATAATGTTTAGTGTTAGAGTACACTCTCTAAGTTTACACACACACAGAGGATTTGTTTTTATCTGAGTCATTCTCAGATCAATGACACAAACTGTTGGCCACTACTGGTGGCAAACATGTTCATCTTGTTTCTCATCTTACTCCTCTGAAAGTGTTTTTAACATTGATTAAAATCAATACCACTTTAAGACTGCACTATTTTCAAGGCTTTTGGAGTTTATTTTTCTAAAACAATTTAAGCAAGTCAACTTGTTTTGAAGGAAAGCTTAAATAGGCACACAGAATAACAGCACGATATTTAACCAGGCTTTTTTTTTTTCACCCATGTATTTTCCTGTAGCAGATTTTCTATTGATGAGCTGAGTGAGCTGCTAGCCCTATTGGCAGTAGATAAATACCTGCACAAAGCAGCCTTCATGAAGGAGCTTCAATTCTGAACATGTCTACACATAGTAAACTGTGGCCGCTTTATGATTGTAATTTATTTTAAAAAGAGCTCTTCAGCAGGATAAAAAGAAACCATTTCCAAAATGGCATATTTGCTCGCTAAACTACTGCTCTAATTCATTTGACATAAACTCTCCAAAGCTGCTCCCTCCTCATCCCATTTGTCTAAATTGCTATGGGCTAACAGATTAGCTCAGAGATATTATTGACACGAGATATTGAAATTCATAATATAAACAAAGAACTTACAAAAGTTTTTGAGTAAAAATACTGTCAAAGGATGTTTAAGGATACAGTAACATCTGAGACAGATGAAATCAATGACTGAAGACAACGTTCACAGGAAAGACTATAAACTTATTCTTGATTATCCTTGCTTTCTCTAAAATACCTGCATCAGTAGTGCTAGGAAGCCTAAAGGTTTCATATCTTAGAATATCTTTACTTGTTCAGATATACTGTAAAACTATTTATTCTGCACCTTTCATTTGTAAAGGATAGTTTCACTGTGTACAACACAATACATTCTCATCTAGAAGGGCGGACACTAAAATAAAACGAGAAAGCAAGAGATGAAAGTTAAAAAAATCCAGTGCACAATTCAGGTGACCTACTTAATAACCAATACAGGTTGCTGATTTTGAAGAAATGAAAAATGGCAACAGAAAAATGTTTTCCTAATTTGGACATGTTTAAAGAAATTGATATTCAATCTAAGTCTTGGGTTGACGTAGAGTCTACTGGATGGGCCAGAAAAATTTACTTTTCAATCTCTGTAAGATATGGCTATGATTGACAAGGGATTCTACAATTGCTGGATGTTGACCTGGAAGGAAGTTAGGAGCTTTAGAAACAAGGAAACACTCAGGTCATTTTCCATAATGATAAAATCCATGATAATAGCAAGTGGAAAAAAAAATATATATGTATTATATAAAACATTATGTCCTCTTTCAGCAACAACTAAAATAAAAACAAGTACTTGAAAAGCAAAGAAGGGCTGCCCAAACGAAAAATTCAAACAAGGGTGGCCAGGAGGACAGAATGCCAGTGGAGAGTGGATGTGGTTGGGAACCATTAATTAGATTATTGTCAAAATCTTAACTTTTGTTTTGGGTGGTGGATTTATAGGCACTTACTACATTATTAAACCTAACTAAAAGCTAAAAAACAGGTCATATATGGACCGGAGATGAAAATATGTCACAAACCAGGATCTAAAATGAAAGAAGGAAAGAAAAAAAGGTTTGTTGTTGTAAATTTTGCTAAAAAACAGCTAAACTGGTTAACGGGGTTTGCCCCCAAATTGAATATATTAATTAGTTTTGAAATGAGTAGTCTAAAACTTGGCAGTTTTGCTCTAAGTCTAACCTTGAATTTTCATATTTGCACACATTTGACACTCAAAACGAAACCTGGGTGTGCGAACTGTCCCACACCACATCCACCTCAATTCAGATGGTTTGTCCCAAGTTCAATGAAGCTCATGTGAACTGAAAACAATGACTTTGTCAGAGCTTTGGTCTTATTTCTATTTTATATCAGCTCTTCACATATCAAATATTAATCCTGTTTCTACTGTATCAGCAATAATAACTGGTACACACCATGTGCTAAGTACTGTTTTAAGACACGGTTTGATAATTCATTTAATCTTTTCAATAACCCCCCTTGAGATAAGTACCATCTCCATTTTACTGATAGGGCAACAAAACCCCAGAGATTCCTTGGGGTTTATATCTAGTTAGTAGGGAATATAGGAGTTGAACCTACGTGGTCTGGCTCTAGAGCCTTTGCCCTTAGTCTTTATGCTACACTATTCTTTTGTGGACATGATTTGAGTGTTGAGTTTTCATAAACAAGTTTGACATATTTTTAAGGTCTACCATTGGAAAGAGATCTGATATGTTTTCTCAATTACATAACTAATTTGAATTTTTTTTTCTTTGCTTTCAAGGATCTGGGTCCAATGTTTGGGCTTAAAACAAGTTTTTAAGTTAATAACACATCAGTCATATAGAGATTTATCTAGGCTAAGAAAATAATAAACTAATTTTACTTGTTAAAGAAAACTTCATTATCAAATACCTTCCTTGACCATATTTTTGAAATTATAACCAAGATAAAAATAATTTATACCCATTCTATTATCTCATCACATTGATAAATCTTTTAAAGACAGAAGCATCTAAGAGTGTTCCCAACAGATATTTTTACCAAGTCGTTCGCTCAGAAATCAAAATCTAAGAATATAAGGGTCTGAAGGACCTAGATTAGGTCACATGTCTACCCCCTGGCCAGGAGAGGTCTGGGAACCTAACCTGACAGTCCTGACATGGCTTCATACAATGGGAGCGTTCTTTAAAGGAAAACGGAAATTTTGTTATCAAAAGAAGGTATATATAAGGCAGGCAAAAATAATGGATGTCTTCTACACTGTCATAAATTCTCTCCATGTTGCCAAACATAAGAACAAAAATCAGTTCTCTTATTTTCTTGACAACATTTGATGGTACCAATACTTGCTTGCTTTGTCTTCTGTGAGATCATTCTTCCCATTCCCTGCTTGTACTCATCTTCATAGGTCTTTTTTTTTTTTTTTCCTTTTTTTCCTTCCTGGTATGTTCTTGCCTTCTAGATGTCTCACTCTATAGTTAGCCATATAACTTTAGAAAACTTCAGGCTTCTACCTATATAATGATGGCTCCCAAATATATATTTCCTACCAGACAACTCTTGAAAACTTGAGATTTATACATTCAACTTCCTCTCAGACAGTTTCATTTGGCAGTTCAGTCTCTCACAAGTGCCTAAAAGATAATGTGTTAAAAAACTGAAATCTTGGGACGTCTGGGTGGCTCAGTAGTTGAGCGTCTGCCTTTGGCTGAGGTGGTGATCCTGGGGTCATGGGATCAAGTCCCACATTGGGCTACTCTTAAGGAGCCTGCTGAGCCATCTGCTATGTCTCTGCCTCTCTCTGTGTGTCTCTCATAAATAACTAAAAACCTTCAAAAACCTGATATCTCCATTTCCCACCCCAAACTTTCTCCTGTTATCCTAATTATTATCCTAATTACCATCTTCATGAATGGCACCACATCCATGCTAAATACCTGTGACAAATGCTAAGTTTCTTCCTTTCACCCAGTCTCCTTTCCCTTCTCTCTACTGCCTCCTCCTCATATACACACATGGAGGTACTATGTAGTTTAGGCTCTACATGTGCAGTTGCCCTCAATTTTTAACTGTATATTCCAGGTTACTAAGCCCAACTTGACCAATCAGGAGGTTGTTGCAATGGTCTACTTGCCTCTGGCTTACTCTTCTGATTGATGTCCTATATTTCTAGCAATTAAATGTTAATCCACAAGTATTTTTTTAGGATAAAGTACAAAATTCTTTGCTTAGCACAAATGGCCCTTGATATTCTGTTCACAGACTATTCTCTGACTTATTACCTTCCAATTTCCTTTGCCCTTACAAACTGTGCTCTAATTATACACATTTACTTGTAGGTCCTTAGGTCACCATGCTCTTTAGGCTTCTGTTTCTTCACAAGTGCTGTTCTCTCTGCATAAAAGACGCTTCCATTTATTTAGCTGGCTGTCTTGCCTTTCAAAACTCCACTCACATAATTTTCCCCAGAAATTCCTGTTGGATACCTAGAGTCTGATTCGGACATCTATCCCAAATGCCCCTATAAAGCTTGTCCGACAGTGTTCTGTTGGTTTACTGGTCTATTTCTTCCAGGAGGTGGTAAGCAACCTTACCAACAGCATTTTATTTGTGTCTCTAGTACCTTTTATGATGTGTGACAAATATAATATTTAATGTATTTTTACTGAATGACTTCATGAAGGAAATAATGTTACCCAATGGAAACAAGTTGAGAAAGTTTACTAGAGTTTATAGGTTTTCAATTATGTCCCCAATCTTGCAATAAAGAACTTCCCTTTCTCAAATAATTCAAAGCACAAACTTAAGACTATATGTTCTTGTTTTAAAGCTGCTATCTTTTGGTTCATGCTTTCATTTTTGTCTTCCGGCAAGGGGGAAAAAGCTAATTACATACTTTGGTGTTTAAGCTTTTTTCTTCAAGCTAAACAAACTTGAAAAATGAGTATATCTTCAAATAAGATCATTTGCCATAAAATTCATTATTATTATCTTTATTTCCCAAACTACAAGTCATGCATTTTCTTTTTCCCTCAAACTCAAAAATTTTTTATTCTACTTCTTAAGTATGTCTTAATTGTTTCATTCTGTTCTCTTCTCCTGCTACTGCCTTCTCATCTTTTTCTTGGCATTCTCACTTCCAGTCTCTCCTCACACCTCAGGCATCTCTCCTATATTGTACACTGGTGACATTTTTCTTTATAAGACACAAATTGGATTACCCCAATGGAATTCAAACATTGGATTGGCATAAAAGGCTCCATTTTTGCATTACAACCAATTATGTCAGTCTCATTTCCTACCATTTCTTTAACTCCAAGTATGTTCAATGTACAGGAACTGCTAATGTTCTTTTATACCTCCAAGTGTTAGCCTGTGGCAATTGCTCTGCCTGGAACATACATTTTCTGTGAATCTAATTTGTGCAATTTTCCTCAACTCCATGTACGAATCAAACACTTCATGTGTAAAATGCTTTCCTTGATTTTTCTAGACAGAGTTAGGTCAGCTCTGCATTTGTGCTCCTGGAGAAGTGTGTATATGTCTTTATTAGAGTATTTGCTTCATTTTATTCATCTTTAAAGTACACATTCCTTACTAGACCATAAATGTAAGAAAGAAATTGTGTCCATTTATCTTTATATGCCCAGAATGTTTCGTAGAAATTGGCACATAGCAAATCCTCCATACCTGTTCTCTGAATGAAGCAAAAGAATACCTCTTTGACTTCAGACATCCCCTTCTCTAGAAGAGCCACATGGGGAAGAACATGCTTTAGGAAAGAGAGGCTAGGACACATAACTATGTCAGATATGAACAAAAAAGAAATAATAATTGCAAAGAGCTAATGGCGACCACAATGATGGCAACCCCTACCCTCTACCACTAAAAGAAAGCTAAGAAAAATAGGCAAGATAGAGTAGGATAGTAAGAGAGGAAAGGAAATAAATATGAATTTCACTATGGCTGTCTTTAAAAGGAGACACATGCCAACGTATGTATGTGAGAAAAGGTTAATGATAAACTCTAGGAGCATTTTGCCCAGTTTTTCCTCTCTTAGGGCATTTATCAATTCCTGTTTCATACATTCAATTCTGCATTAAGAATGTTAATGGAAGGAAAAGGAGATAAAGGATAATCTCACATTATTATTATGCTAGAAGAATTAAAGCATGAAATGGAATAAATATAAGCCTATGTGGTTTAAAACTATATCCAATATTGAAGAATAATTATTTGGGTCTACAAATGATATCAGAACCTATCTCCTCCTCCCACCCTCCCCATACACCTGTCTTTGACATTGCACCCTGCTCTATCCAGTACCTGAGTGTCTTACACACTTTCTCCATTCTGTTCCAGTTTCAGAGCAACTTGTAAAATGGGCTTTTGATTATTAAGGGCAGGCAATCTGGGAAATGAGGGTCGATGTTATGGTTGTCTAGGAGTATTTTCCTCCAAAATAAACCTGCTTAATTTTTTGTCAGCACTTACTCTATAACTGGTTAATTTGCCAACATATAGTTAAATGGTAACAACATGAAGTCTTTTAGAAGAGACTCTATTTCTAATTTAGATGTGTGTGCAACAGAGTCCCATAAAAGACTCAATGGAAAAGGAATTAATAAAATTAATAATCCAATCAAATGTCAAAACTGTAAGGAGAGAACATTATATAGAAAAACTAATAGTAGTACCACAAGGTATCTTTAACATTCTGGCATGCACTCGAGCCTCCCTCAGTTACCCTGCCTCAAGCCACCTTGAAAAACAACAATTTAAACAGAAATGGTAGGCAAATGAAACCTCAAATGTCTAAGTTAATGCTGGTAATATAACCTTATAGGGCATAGGACATTTAACATTTCTTAGTATTTAATGCCCTGAAATGTAATATTGGGTATTTATTGCACATCCAATCATATTTAATTCTCACACTAAGTCTGTGACACAGACACCACTCGGCCAAGCCAGGTTTGCTGGACTCCTAGACCCATCATTTTAAATTCCCTGCTCTGGGCTCCTATGCTACCCTCAGAGGCTCAGGTAATGCAAGCTTGCAATATCAAATTTACTAAGACATAAAACAGAGACAGTTTTTAAAAATGTTAGTTAATAATAATATAAAAATATATGGGCTCATTCACAACAACAAATCGAATTAAAAAATTCTTTTAGATTATATAAACTATCCCCAAGGAAAAAAGCTTCAATTATTCAGGGTAACAAAATAAGTAAATTTAAATTAAATCCCCAATTCAGCAACAAATAATCACTTGCTGTCCAATAAACACAGTTCCACAGGATGTAGTACATAAAACAAAACCCACAAGTAATTCTTGAGTTGTCTATAAGTTGCTAAATAGATATTTATATTTTGAAAATGACTACAGCATTCTCCAATTATACTATTAGATATTGGCTAAGTCTTTTTAAAATAAAAGATATAAATGCAACAGTAAGTTAAGATTTTTGTATATACTTATATGAATGATAAGATTAATCACTGTAAAAATATAATTAGTAGGACAAGACAGATACTCCAAATGTAAAGAACTCGAAATCATAACTTTCCATTTTAAAGCTGATTACCGACATTAATTTTTTAGTAATATAGAGTTGTTAATTGCTAAATCTTAGAAACTACTTCCCTACCTGATATTGTATATTGCGGAGATGAGGAAGTTTTGCTTGGGTTTTGATTTTTGTGGAGGGAAGTGGTGCCTAATTTTAGTCTAGGCTCTTCCCTATACTCATAGAAAGCAAAATGAGTAATTTCCAAGATAAATCACAGAACAGATTAGGGAAATTTCTAATTATATCAATTCTATCACTGATCATTTACCTAAGAGAAATGAAAATACACAACCAGCTCTTTTAGGAACTCTATAGACATTCCTACAACCATTTCTATTTGGTGCAGCCAATGAAAGAGAAGAATAAATACTATCTTCCTTTGGTGTATTCAAGGTTGGCTGTCATTATCGTGTTAATTCAAAGACATGTTATCAGAAATAATTTGGAATTTCACAAAAACCCAGTACAGCTTGTTTGCCAAGGGTCGCAAAGCTCAACTCACTTCAAGTGCTGAAGAAGATAATCCCATGCAAAGTTAACATAATCTGAAATTGTTTTTAAAAAGAGTAAGATTTTATCTTCATGTTTAAGGGTAGAGAGAACTGTTTAACCCATATAGAATGACAAAAGCAGTGAGGGGGAATGAAAATGGTGAACGGCACTTTTACCCACCATGGTGACTCATGACCTGCCCAGCAGCCTCCATGCTGACATTCTGGAGATAGTTGTGGCAGCGTTCCTTGTGCTCCTCCAGTGAACTGCGCTGCTTGTAGCTTCGTCCACAGTAGTTGCACTTGTGAGGTTTACCCACTGCGAAGAGAGCTCCAGGTTAGTGTGCCGTCAGTCTCATCCAGAGCAAATTTAACATCTGACTTTTGGTAGTGTGGAGGAAGCATTTATATGCTTTTCAGACTCAAATCTCTTCCTCCTCCACACTCTGATTTAGGCGAGAAAAGCTAATAAATTTCTACCAAAGACTAAAAAGACAGCAAGGAGATAAGGCAGGTCGTACCTTTGGTGACAGAGGAAACACTGAATCAAATTCATGCTCTGACTGTATCCTCGATCTTGAGGGGCTGATGATCAGTCTCCAAATTATCTGACTTCTAACACTAACATTTGCTCTTACACAATTCTCTCAGCTTTGACTCAAAATACAAATCAGGAGTGTCCTAGATACATGGTGAGAATTTTTTTTAATGTTTTTTTGGGGGGTTGATAAGGACAGAGAATTTTTAACTGAAGAAAAGTGAAATGCAACAAATGGAATGTCATTGTTTAATGAAAAGATTATTCATGGCACGGTACCAAGGACACTAAAAAGAATTCAAGTGATGAGAAAAAGTACGATAAAAGCAGAGTTTCTCTTTTCTTTCCACCTTGGTTATAATTATTCACACATGCAAAACTTTGCAGCCGATAACTGTGTTCTCCAACATCAGCACTGTTCTTCTACTACCAAGAATTAACCTACTAGGTGCTTTGAGTCAGGATTATTAACAATAACCACTGAAATCCTAACATATGTAGTTATATAATGATAGTAACATTTTCTTTTTTCTTTTTCTTCTAATGTCTTTCACATCCAGGAAATGAATTATTTCCTAGTAGCCAGAAAGCCCTATCTCAGTATACCTGGTAAAATACTTCAATGCTCACATTAAATAAAACTTTAAAAAACGATTGAAGAAAAACCCACGTATGGAAAGAGACATGTTTTACTGTATGACAATTCACAAGGATATCACAGGGCACTCTGATTCTTAGTTTTGAATGAATACAGAAAAAACACAAGACCCCAGCTGGTCCTTGCCAAAGCTCTCAGTAGCAAAGCACAGTGTGAATCAGTCAGTGGCCCTCATCTGACATAGGAATCACTTTGTTTTGCTCCAAGGACAAACAGACCACTCTTTTTCATAGTCAAAGATCGTATCCCTAACTCTAGTCACCTTACAAACTCCAAGCTATGACACTGGTTGCAGGCGGAATTGAAATACTGTAACAAGGCAAGGTATTCAGAGCTGCATAGAAATTTTGCTATAAAACAACAAAAACCCCACGAAATCTTTAAATTGTATTTGACGTATACATAAGCCCAGTTATTTCATGATCATGATTTTTGTAAACAGCCTTAAATAAAAGCTAAGGCAGGATTAGTCATTTCTAAAAATAGGCAAAGTTCTATTTTTTTTCAGAACCAAGAATTTCTATATATTGAACCAAGGAATCTCTGTCTATTGTGAAGAATCTTTATTGCTATGTCAGAACATTAAAAATTACACGAAAATACTTTTAGTCAAAAACATTTCATGTAAATAGTGTAAATACATGTAATTGCATTTTAAGATATGGCATTACATATCACAAAAAGCTTTTGTTTGCCATCACTGTTACTTAATATGAGGTTTTTAGTGCTAGAAAGTCTCTAGAAGTAAGTGAATTTGCACTAAACAGGTCTACTTACTAACAAGCACATAAACTGTGGTCTGTAGCCCACTTTAAAACTTGTTTCTTCCTCTCTGTCTTCCTTTTTATCAGTCCTGTTGCGCTGTGTCTTGGATACCTGTTTTACTATAAACGTATCATCCTATGCTTTCTTCCCCTTATTTATATAAACCTGATACCTTCTGAAGTTCATTTAAACAGTTCTCTTCCACACCCCCCTGGCACACAGCCATCAATAAACTTCTAACTCACCCACCAAGGAAGAAAAGACTGTATACTTTTTACTGTTTTCAAAACTTTTTTTTTTTACTAGCCTCATTTTTAAAGTCTGTCGTTCCTAAAGCTTTATTACTTTAGCTTCTCCCATTTTGACATCCGTTTTAAAATATCACTCTTTCCTCTTCATCCCAATTTGAGCAAATTGTTCTAGAAGTATAACCTCACTTTTTCCAAATCTTGATCTGTGTTCCACTACAGCAATCCACATAGTAGGCAACATATGATGGACTTTGATATCGTGGAACTGTGTTATCTCCAAGGCATGGACTTTGGGAATGCTCCACTTTACCCTTCTGCCTCTCTCATCCAATACATATTTGTTAAAAGCCTACGAGGTACCTACAGCCTGTGAGGTACCAACAACACTCTGATGAGGCTGGAATGTAAAGTGGAGAACACATTCTCATGGTTCTATCCTCATGCAACTGACAGTCTGGTGAGGAAGATGGATATTTAACAAATACGTAAGCAATATATTACAAATTATGGTAGATCCTATACAGCAAAAGAATGGTCTGTTAGCATAACACGGGGAACCTAATTTAGTTTGAGAAGGTTGGACAGGAAGGTCTCCTTGAGGTAGGAACACTTCCTCTAATAACTGAAGGAAAAGTAAGTGAATCAGATAGTGGGGGGTAGGGTGGAGGAGAGGCAGTGTTTCAGGATTTCCAGGAACTGCTGTCATCCTTACATTTGTTTTCATGTACTCAACTCCTTCAAAGTCTAGATCATTCCCTTACTACTCTTTTGAAAATTATTTTCAAACATCAGCAACTTCCTTGCCAGATCCAATGGTTCTACTAGCCCCACAAGACAATTTCCTGTCAGTTGTTTGATATTTCTTAAAAATCGAGTTCACAAAAATATTGTTTACATTTACTCCCTACATGTGATTATTTGTGTAACATTTATAATCCATGAGTTAATATATATATACCATTATTTTAGATCTATTTTTATAAATATTATTGCATTCTTACCATCTGAAACACCTTCATTCTAATATTACTGAGACATTTTTATAAAGTCATCAGTAGCCTCTGAATCAGTAAATCCAGTGGACATTTGGCTCTAAAGCGCCCTAATTTCATGGCCACTTTCAAACTTTGATGTGTCTTGATTGTCTTGCTTTAGCCTCTGGGATCAGATTCTGTGTTGCCCTTCACTGGCTTCTCAACCTCTTCCTACCTGGCAAATAGATACATAACTTCTGATTTTGTTCTCACTATAATAGTCTCCCTCTTATTTCCTCTAGATTAAGCCCTCATTTCTGTGAAATGTCCAAATCATGCCTGGAATAGTTTCCCATGTTTGTAAGCTGCTACTAGTCATTTAAATCTGTTAGACTGATCTTGGTGAACCCAAAGATGGAACTTTTCCCTGTTTTCTCACTGTCCATACTGTGTTGATGTTATTCATATGATATCTATTCATCTCCCCAGTTCCCAAAAAATGAGCTTTGTCCTAAGAACAGAGGTCATGTTTTACTCAATTTTGAACTGATTGTGCTCTGGTGGTTATTAAACACAGGAGATACTCCATACGTATTTGCTGAGTGATTGCACTTCACACTCATACTTTCAAATGCCTTTTTGAGTAGTGCCTCATGCATATTCCTCTGAAATCTAAAATTCAGCATATTCAAAATTCTCTTCTCCATAAAGCTACTTCTTTATTCTGACTGTTCTTTTGTGCTACTGTTACCACTGTTTTAATAATGCAGACTCACAACAAGGCAGTCCTTTTTGTTGCCTCCCGATCTCTTTTCCCACATCCAAAAAGTTGCTAAATTCTATATATTCCTTCAGTGTTTCTAAGTTTATCCTTCCTCCTCAATCCCACAACCAATATGCAAGTTCAGTTCTTCATTATTACTAGCCTGGGCTAGCATAAGAGACTTCAAACTAGGTGTTCTCTTGTGTAATTATTTGGTTCCCTCCTTAAAAACCTTTACTGACTCTTCGTTTCTATCGAACAAAGTCCAAATCCCTTTACCTGGCATTCAGTACCCTTTCCTAACTGGTCCCAAAGTCTACATCCATCTATCCCAGGATCTGGCTAAAATCACCTTAAACTTTTACACTTGAGTCTCAGTTCTTTCTTGAATGGCTTTAAACAATGTGGGCTTCTTGAAATCCTAGTCTTCCTTCCATTCCCAAATAACCTTCTAAAAGTGATCTTTCCCATTAAAGAATCATGACTGTATTGGCTCCACACCTAGAAAACATAACATTCTATCTTGTATTTATGGCTATTTATATATTCGTTTTGATCTCCCATGTTAGACTGTGACCTTCTTAAGAAACTGGAGCAATGTCTGGTATATTTTTATAACCTGCAACAAGTTTAGTACGGTAATTTGTTCACAGAAAGAATAGGTTGGGTTTCATTAATAATCTCATTTCCTAACTTTTAAAATATTTTTCTCTCACCGGTTTTCCTTAAATTTCACTAAATTTCCAGTTTTCAAAGCAATACAAAATATGAAAATTCACCAAAAAATTATTCATAATTACACAGTTTAGAGATAACTGTCTTTAACATTTTTATCCTCTTGTATTTTTTCTGTACATGCAAAGACACATTTTGTTATAAAATTGTCACTTTATACACTGTTTCTTCTGAAATACACGGTCTACACGCACACACACACAAACACACACACTCATCTAATCATAATCTATTTCTCTGTTGTCTTTTTGGAATTTCTATTAGTTTGATGTTAGAACTTCTGGAGTGGTCCTTTAAATTTCTCATCTTTTTCCCCTCACATTGACTACCCTTTTATACTTTTGACTTTAAAAAATTAATCTTTTTCTTTGAGTATTTCTGCTAAATGTTTTCTGGTTATCATGCATTTTAATTTCTAAGAGCTCTTTCCTGTTTTCTTCTTTTTTAAAAAGTATAATTTTTCTGTTTTTTTCTTGGGCACAAAACTTACCTCTCTGAGCCTTTTATCTTTTAAAATTCTCTTCCCAGTTTATATTGTCTCTTTTCTCTGAGCTTTTTTCTTTCTGTACTATTCTCTGTATTAGAGGAGTTTCTTAAATGTGCCTGAATATCTATTGTTCATTCATATTGAACAG